CAATCATAAGGTAGTATTTGTAACATTGAATATTGGGATACTTGAACATACACTAAAAGCTGTATTTGAATCACAGAATATTACTAAATACTGTACTTTTAATACTGAAAATAAGTAATTAATCAATGATTCTCAGTATGATATTTCTGTAAGGGTTTTCATAGCAATCTGTGCTCAGATTGACGTCAGAAAGGAGAAAACTTTATATTTTAATATTAGAACCACTTAAACAATTCATTGTACTATCTGGAAAACATTAACAAACACAGTACACGTTACATCAATATTATAATTTTTTATTTAAAAATGTGAGTGTTATTATATATAACACATGTATGTAACAGTTATATTGTTATGCGAGTATTATAATATATTCATATAACGTTACTTTTAAAATTGGTGTTTATTGAATATTCTTCCACTAACCACTAACTATCAGTAACATAGGGCGCATTCAGTAGAAAAAGCGCTCAGTGAGCAATCAACGATTATTGGTTCTTGCTATTAGATCCCTAAATCTAGACCAATTACATTGACAAATTACTCAACTGTTGTGCAACTGTTGAGTCTACTGAATGCAACCATAGTGTTACGTCCTGTAGGAGAACGCAACATAAAGAAAGCCTCACCTGCACTTATAGGTCGAAGAGCTAGTCAACGACCAGAAGGGTAATTTTACTAGCCCGACGACGTACGGCGAGCGGTCCGATTTTGAGTCAGAGAACTGAATCTCTTCACTCGGGACTAAACCTTGAACGATAATAGGAGAGGACGGGTAAACAAAAGAAATTAATGTTTCTTTATAAAAGAAATAACGTACGATTTATTTATAATTACAATGAGCTGGTGTGTGTATGTGTGTGTGAATATATGTGTGAGTATATGGGATGAGGGTGAGCATTAGTGTTCAGGATTATTGGAGGACATACCGATTTCAGAATTCTGGATGATAATTAATGTCCACAGGAATTATTGCGATTGAGTTTTCGACAAAGTAAGGATATGTCTGTTCGGACTTATTCGAAATTGAGACGCAGAAAACCGGATAATAAAACAATAACTTACTGTTAGTGTGTACGAGGAGAGAAATGAATGGTTCTGGATCTTCTGAGATAGTTGTTTCCTTCGATTCTGATTCTTGAGATGATACTCGTCGAGGTAGTAATGATAATAATTACAGAAGTGATATTCGTAGTGATAGCTTTAGAAGTCGTAATGGTAATAAGTTACAGAAGTGATACTCGTCGTGGTAGCTACAGGGGGTCAATTCCGTAATTGTTATCATGGTGAAAATGCGAGTTAGCTCACGTCGCGTGATTCCGTAACTTTCATTATGGTGAAAACGCGAGCTATTTCATGGGAGTTTGTTCGACAAGAAATTTCTTGTCGAATCGTAAGATCCGAGAGAAAAATATTGAAAAATAGAGCGAGAGAGAAACTATAGACAGCGTCGTGACGCGTTTTTGTGACATAATTGTAAGGTTAAGTATCATTGATTTGCACAAATTTCCGACGGCTTGAAAGTAAAAAGCTGTAAGAGAAGTAGCAATACAGGGTGTTCGGAAAGTACCGGGACGCCCAAATATCAGGAAAAATATAAGTTTTACAAAAAAATGTTTCAGACAAAAGTTGTGGCGTTTAAAAAGATGTATTTACTGATCACATCAGTTTGACCTTGGGTTGCGTAGCGAAGGTCAGGTCAAGGTCACATTAATTTTTTTAAATGGAACACCCCATTT